TGCTGTAGCAGGGAAAACAAGAAACGTAGGTAATCGTTTTATTAATATGTTTTGTTTTTACTGTATTTTGTTTGTAGTGAAAGAAAGTTAATGTCTTATTGAATTGAAAAATGGTGCTTTAATATGTTAAAATCGGTGTTGTTGTTGTTGTTATTATTGTCGTTGTTGTTGTTGTTATTATTATCATCATCATTTTCCATTTGTACGTCTCTATCCAAGGGTTGGTAAACCTAGAAGCCGCATATTTACACTAGCATCCCATTAGGCTTCGGACCCCACTGAGCCATAGACGGCCCTCATGGTAGTAGGACCCGTAAGGCCCGAGACTTCACCATTACGCCACTGTATCCCATCTGCATATGAATCTTGGGAATATCACTAATGTTGCTGTTGTTGATATTATCATTATCTAAAATCATCATTGTCATCAACATTAATATTATCATTAAGTTTATTCTGCATGACTATTATTACTATTACTATCGGTATACTTAAATCAATTTTTCGTATTGTTTCTCATCAGGCGTGTTTTCGTTGTGAAGAGTAAGGAACGAAACTTAAGGAACACTATGTATAAGATTTGTCACTTCCACTTTTCTCTATATTACATGAACACACCTGGATGGCTGCATCATCCGTTTACTTGTATCTACATTGTTCTATTTATAATTGGATGTACGGGAAATTTCGCTGTTATTTTTCTTATTCGTCGATGTAGACAGTTACGAGGTGCACCCATCATTTTTTTGGTCAACCTTGCAGTAGTCGATATTTTAGTTTGTCTAACGTATTTCCCATTATATATATATCTTAGTCTAACACAGTCGTCAATGTTTCTTTTAAATTTTCATAATAATAATGTCTGTATAGCTGCAATATTCTGGGAATTCCAGTCACAATTATGTTCAGCCTTGACAATCGCATCTATTAATTTTGAGAGGTAAGAAGTAGACCTAATACACGTTCTAGCCTTGTGTATACTAATATACATATATATATACTAATATACATATACAGTATATATACTAATATACATATATATATACTAATATACATATATATATATATACTGTATATACATATATATATACTAATATACCTGTCTCTTAT